CAACTGCTTGCCTCTTGAAAGCAGTCGCAATTAGCGAGAGTGTTTCCAGCTACCATCATCCTCTGCCTAGCACGTTGAACCTAAATCCGCCAGTTGACACTATATCTTCAGGGAATTTCTATTCAATACACGGCGTAAGCCACCAGCTTATGGTTGTTTGTTTCTCCGCGACAAAATACGTTTGGATGTAATTCCTGCCGACGCCCCAACACTGCTAATATGCCCTTCTTTGCCCTGCCCTTACCGACATCAGAGAAGATCCTACTCATCTTTACAACTTATATTGAGGAAATGTGTAAGGTGAAAATAAGGAAACGCCTGTTTTTTCTTTGGTCATTCACCACCACGTCTGTGCGGCTTCGTCCACCTTACCGTGCCTCATCCAATATCACAATATTCAAGTTTGGTATATTTGATTACTTGAGCATACGAGTTACAGAACCTCAACCAGATGAACAGTATCCAAGTTTTAGCGGATTTGTCAGTGGAGCTAACATGCCCCCGAGGCACATCTACCATACTTTGGATAGTAGACTGCCAACTGTTGTCGGATCTCAGGCAGAAGTACACTCAAACAGAGCTTTCACTTGATCTAAAGGTGTGAATAACAAAAATAGACAAATCCACTTTAATGACACATTTTAAGACAGGGCGTTGTTGTTTGAGGCTGCTGTGATTCACATTCGATGCAGGAAGACGATTCTTAGAAATGCCGCTTTCGTGACAGTAAGCTGTTTACTTGGGCCTACGAGAGCACTTTAGCTGATAGCCAATCTAATCCAAAAGGATTTGAGGGGCGGGCCTGGTCAAGAACTAATGGATTTAACTTGCACTAAGTACTTACGTTGAGTTGTATGACACTGGCATCGATTTGCAAGGCTGACTCATTCGAGGATTTATCCAATTCAAATATTTGTCATACCGATCTTTGCAAAATTACGAAATTACTATCACGATCTCCTCTAATGAATATCACTTACGTGAGCACAGTTGGCATGATCGACATTAGCAGAAGAGTTCAACTTGGAATGATTGAAATCAGTCCTTAGCATCTTTTAACCTGCTGTGACAACGGCTTACTCTCCTCCTTGATTCACACAATCAGTTTTCTGAGTTGCTATCGTCCAGAATCCCGTAAAAGAAATGCAGTTTTTCGTCTTATTCGTTAGCGGCGGAAGGAAAACGCACATAAAAATGGGTTCTAATTTACGATAAGTCGATGAGTCAATAACTTAATCAACTGCAAATCGATTATTCGACAGTTCTAGTCGTAGCCCTCACACTGAAGTTGTCCTCAAAATGCTGCAAATTAAAATTGATGTCTTTGCGACTTTTGGGCCACTTGCTTGCAATCCACGTGGTCTTTTAGAATAAAAAATCGATTTCACTGATCTTTGTGAAAATCAAACGTTTGCGCTAGCGAAGCTTCTTGAAAAACTTAAAGCTAAGATTTAAATCGGCAAAAAGAGGAGTTACAACTCAGAATCAAAAAGCGCCAGAGTAACGATTGCTTAATACGCAAATTCTGAAATTTCTGCGCCTAAGTGTAAGTTGAAAAAGGCGTTAGAAATAACAAATTAACTATGCCAATTTACTGGCATGAGGAATGTTGCGACTTGTGCATTGAAGCTCATGTTTACTTCCATTCGGTTAATCGCAGGAAAAACCCGCTAGACGAAACTGGATTCTCCATTCAACGGCCAGACACAAAATATCACGAAGTCTTCCACAAAAAACTTGAAAGTACGGTAACAAGAATACCTATTAACTTCACTGAAAATATTCTGCCCTCTTTAGTGCCTCAGTGGGCAAAACAGGAGTGAGGTAATTGAAGGAAACCCGCGATATCAATCTAGCAGGACTTCGTGAACCAATGTGGTGGAAAAGGGAGACGATTCGGCACAAGGTATGCCATACACCTTGGGCCTACGCGCTTGAGTTAAACCCAAAATCGGGACAGTTTTACGACTGCAAGGTGTGTCCTTAGGCGATTTCGATACTACCAACTTCCGAGAGAACGTTGTTAACGTAAGCCCCATAAGAGGTATCTTATAAGAGGCAACTAGCACATCTCCCTCACACTGCAGACAATATGTAGTGGGGTTCGAACGACCATAAACGCAGGTAAATCTTGGACGCAGCATGTGGTCGCGTTCGCATGCCCCCTGCCTTCCTACGAGGTCAGCACCCCGGTACATAAAATCGAGCGAATGTGAGGTCAGCAGGCTCGAGGGAGCGTGAAATCTCAGATCGAGGCTCGTAACCCATGATTATTGAAAACGCACTTGGATGACTGCCAAGCCCAGATTCGCGCACACAAAGCCGGTTTGTAGATAATTCCCTCAATACCTTAAAAGTGAGTCAGCCTTGCCTCCAAAACCGAAGCGCAGCACCCCTTTTGAATGTGAGATATTTCAAATAGTTACAATGATGCGTAAAATAAGAAATACCTAAACAATCCGGAAAGTGGCTAAATGTGATAGCATTCTCTATCTAACTCGAAATGCGGAGAGGTGGAATCGAGAGCTAAATAGTGGGATTAAAGTGACTGGGTGGGCCTCAGGGAGACCTTTATAAAATGCAATCCGGAAAATTAAACATGCCAGTCGGACGCTGTCGACATACCGATACTTTCGTCGGGTGGGATCCCAATGTCTAACTTTGGTGACAGGTGAACGAGAACCCAGAAGAGAGCGTCAACGACAGTTCCATTCCGGATTTGAGAGTAACCTCGATCCTCATTGATGATCGCTGTTGGATTATTTGGTAACTGAGGCCTCAAGATGGATACAACATGGCCCTAGGCAATCGCACGGAACGTTAATTGCAAGAAACAAGAAGACATAGAGAGGCATTCACCACATATTTTTAATCACACAATAGGAAATAAAATTGAGACATCGATTACATTAAAATATACACTACGTAGCGCTAATTTCGGCACCGTCTTCATCGAATTGAAGATCGGCTAACCCCTCCATTACTGCTGACCGAAGCTGCGGTAGAGCAGCTACTTTGTCGTACAAATCGTCCGTACGGTACTTGTCGTATATAGCCTAAATGTAGCAAATTATTACGATGCAATGGCATACTCGATATTTGGAAGGCGAATTCTGTCGGTACACCGCCTTTGCCAAAACCTGAAGGGGTCCACGAATATCTCCAATGGCATAACCACTGAGATAGGCAATCTTTTCATCCCATACGTCGTCAATGATAGAAGTATGAGAGCAGATGGCAAGGGCTAAACATATGGCGATTGTAGCACGCAAGTTTCCAGGCAAACATGCCAAGTCATACTCCTGAATCGTCAGCTCAAGGAAGTACTTTGCAAGATTGTGCATCAAACGATCAGCCTGGAAACATCAGGTACTGTAACAAACTTACCTCGAGAGCTCGAGAAAAACGCCGCAGAAATACTATGGGGGAAGGGATTGACAAATAAAAATCCAGGGTCTGCAGAATCATTTGTTCACAAGATCGAATGTCCTTTTTATTATATGTATTGTCAGTAATTGACGAAAAATCGCTGATGTCGGGAGGGTACATCTCTTCGAATTTCGATGCAATAAAGAGGGATGTGACACCAACGAGTTGGAAATACCCCTTCCTTATTTCGGACCCACATTTCTAACAACAAATAACCTAGAATCTAACAATCTAACTTGTATATAACGATCCATTATTGCAACACAAAGATATAGGGTCTCTGGGAGGAGCTTATAACTTTGATGTACTTGAACCAGCCAATTTACAAGAATGTAACGCATCCTCGGAGTTATTTCTACACAAGCGTCCAAAAAATTAGGCCTGACAGGCTGGAAACTCAGTTCGCGGTTTTGCAAATAATTAAAAATAGTTTCTGCAAAGGCTGATACTGATGCCGTGTCAAGACCTGCATCGTCATCAAGCTCAAAAAATCTCCGTGAATCCTTCCGAGATAAGAAGTTAGTCCGGAGGTTCTTTCGGTGTCTGCAATAACTCTTGAAGGTAGAAACCTCCTCGGGGTTTAGACCAGGAAAATTTAGACAGAGAAGCGTTTTTGTAGGTTGGCGTCTATCCTTAGAGGCTTTGGTGGGTCCGCGAATTTCGGGTTTTTTCGGAGCTTTTTGGGATACCAAAGAAGAGTTAATATTTTTGAGCTCAACTAGAACGGCTCTCGATCTAGTATGCACGCCCAGGTGATGCGATTTGGTGTTGCCGTGGTTCTTCACCTTTACGTTTGCGTTCTCATCATGCTGAAATGAGAGAGAGTAAAGGATAATATTGCTACATACGAGGTATGGCACCATAAAAACGTATTACTAGTCCCTAGAATTGCGACTCAGCCACGAAAAATAAACAAACTTGACGTTAACAATAAAGTAACCGATCACACTTGCAATCTGTTAGACAGGGAGACCCAGCGTTAGCTAGAAATTTCTAAAATAACCCTTATCTAAAGTTACCGTGGAGTTTGATACTCCTGTCCTACTACGCGTGAGCATCCTGAGCAACCAAAATTCGAAAAGGAGTGATTCTGAAAACAGTAATTTCTACGGCTAAGATTTTCAGTGCAATTAAACAAATCATTTATCAGAGTATTCTTTTGATAATTTGCTAACCAAATTGCTTATGTATCAATTTTTTTATAAAATTAATTAGAAAAACTAGACGGCGGCTTTAATTGTGTACTAATACATGAATTTGGATTGCCTAGATTGCAGATAATTAGTAAATTTGTTCTCCCTTCTCAGCGCCTCAGATTTCGCATGACTAACATTTCTTCCATATACCACTTCCTTCTTTTGATTCAAATATGATGAAATTGAAACTCTGACCACTATGGAAAATTTATTGATAATTTTTACCCCGTTATCCTTTTAAGCAGTTCTACTGTGCCTCTAGGTAAATGGAACTCCCTAGGTTGCCTTATTGAGTGAGAACGGAGACATTTTGTGTCACAGGCAAGCTACCTTTGTTTGTAGCATGATACCATATGCAATCAGGTTCTTACTTGGAAATAGCATGTCATGGTACTTTCTATTATGTAAGCATTCTCAGCACCTACTTTTACCTGTTTTCTAATTTCCGTTTTTAATTTAGATGGCTTTTGATATGTCACGGTGTCTTTATTATGAAGAACATCAATCGTTAATATGCTCAATGTTGATATTAGTTGTCCTAGTCCTCCTCGTGCATAATTTGACCATGTGAAATTTAAATTAATGTATAAAGTTTTCACTTATATGTAGTTTTTGCATTCATAAAATTTATGCGTAGCCTTTGAACACATTTTCAACTGCTGCATTTTGTTAACCCCATTAGCTCTCAATGCGAGCAAAATCGCCACAATTAGCACCAAGCCATCGAACGGGATTATGTACCAATTATTATCTTTCGTTGAAATAACTCCCCTTAAATCGCTCGAGGCCTACGCATAAGAAAATAACGCCATACACAAGAATGTTAAACATAATTAAGCTCTTAAGCATTCCAACATAACTTTCCGTGACTAGCAGTTTACGGCAAAGGTTGCAATCACAATGCAGAATTTGTTGTCACAGGGCATAGGCTAAGCATTTATTGTATGTTTTGAGTTCCTTCCCTTTTCACTCTCAAGTCAAGTATGTTCTTAACTAGGTTATTGGCGTCGAAACATTCAAAACTTAATGTATGTATGACTGGTTGTAAATTTTCATAGAGTAACTGACTTTTTGTGATAAAGCAAATTTATACCACCTGTGGATTGCCTCTAAAAATTGCAACATCGTAGCTATAGAAATCTTACCAATATTTCTATATATTAATGATAGGACGACCACAACATCCTAGTCTAATTCCAAAACTCATTTATTTATTCAAAAATGAATTTTATAACCTGAGAGAATATTTCACAGGACATGAAAAGTAATTTTTCTGGCAGTTATACAGTAGTAGGTTGCCGATAACCCCTTCGAAAATAACCCAGTATTGTTTGGACCTAATGGCTAAGTGAAAACTCGTTCGTTTTTTTTCACATTTAGCAAATAGGATATGAAAGACGTCATGCCTAAATTCGCAGACATATGCAAAACGTGGGCTGGTGTATTTGGTATACTTACCCTGTACGCCTTATTCCCCCGTGTTTTTATTTTCTATCTATGGGTGCTTTAAAGTTCTGCAGACCACAAAGGTTACTTGTCTTGGTAGTAAAAAATAATCTATGGGCCAGGTCGATCACACTTTCTTCAACCCAAATCGTTAGGAGCAAACGCGTCTATTAGAGTGCTTATGCTCTTTTGCGAAAGGCGCAATACTTCCAGAAACAAAATATTGGGTACGTAAACTAAACCAGAACATGAAATCAATCTATAAACTCCAGGGCTATGCAAATTAGTGATAGTATGGTACACGATTTTTGTAAAGTTTTGAAATTGCTTAGGGCATGTTCTTCAGATGAACGTGGGATGCGAGCACTGTGAACCTCGATTTCTCCCAAACAACCATGTTTTGTGTCGTTTTACGATGTTGAGTGTTTTCAACAAGGGCACAAATTGCATGCACTTTAATGGCAGCCAATTCATTAACTACGACGTGGTCTGATGGTCATATTTATGGTTGCCTGCTCTAATATCAGGTAGTTTAATTGCAGGCGACCCACATTTCGAGCACGCATTGCTTACACGAGTACATTGTGCATTGCACGCAAATGTGGAGCAGCCTCTAAAACGGAGCCGAGAACATATTCAGACACAAGTAATGTATTGTGTTCTTATTTTGAAATTGCGAAATAGCGAAACTTTCGTTGTCCACGCAGGTGGGGGTGTATCCACAATAAAAATAATTAGTAGTCTATAACACTTAACCAAACCCACAAACAAGAGTTCAGCAAATCAAGCCCTCGAAATAGTGCAAGATTGGCCTTTTAATTGGGACAGAAGCACTCTCGCTCCCTCTTCTATTTCCCTTCTACCTCTTGCTGCCACTTACTCCTTTACTCTCTAAGCACAAATGCGCGTTTATCAATTTCCACTGACATGATCTACCTTAATTATCTGAAATGACTCATATGACCCGTAGTAAAATACTCAAAGGTAACGTGATTTGTGTCACAAAGCACCTATCAATGGGGAATTGGTGTTTAAAGTATCAAGAACCACTGGAATAGAAAAAAACGAATGAGGTTGCAATTACTAAAAATTACGTCGTAACACCATTCACCCCAATCAGACGATAACAGCTCCGACACCCCTAATGTTTGCGTACGAAAACATTTTGTGTATCTCGCCAAAGAGAGGCGACTTTTGTGTTGGTTATTCCATGAGTAGTGTAAATAACATCGGGATAAGTACTGATAGATATACGCACCGAAATCGGAGAACAGCGAATACAATCCGGTAAAATGAGTTTACATTGCGTTTATCGTAAATAATAGATGTCGCGGCAACAAGTAGAGTCAACAGCAACTGTGTACATCAAATTCAGTCGCTTGCCACTACTAGGGACTTCGAATAGTGTTTTTGAACAAAACCAATGTAGTAAATCATAGGGTTATACGTAGTCAACATGACAAATGTCTGTTAGTGAAGATACTGGAACGATATGCGATTAGGTCCCTCATTTGGCTAACTTTTACAAGGAACTCCAAGCCGCGTAGGTTTTTTGAGAAATGGATGATGTCGGTCATTAAAAGTCGAGTAAACGATCTTTATGAAGTTTAAACTTAAAAGAAGACAAACTGCGGGTAACAAAGAGACAATTAATCGGAGATGTTCAACTGAGTTCTGCTGGTAAAAATGAACTGGGAACCACTCTAATAATTCAGGTGGCTTTAGACTTTTAACAGGACTTTATACTTGAAGAAACCTCGCTCTAATTCACCAGAACGGGTGATCATCAGAATAACTATAACTTCGTTACCTTCAAGCAGCACATTTTCTTACATTCATTAATAAATTACTATCAAGTATCAGACATGTAGTTTTATGGTGGACGCCAATCTGTTGATAGATCTACTGTTTTCGAACCCTTGACATTTCCTCAGTGAAACCAAGTGCGTGCAGCAGATTGTCTACAGAGAAGGAGCTTGAGCGCTTTTAGCTACCGGTTAAATTGATCAGCTAAATCTCGTGTGTTTGAACTCTGCCATTGCTAAACCTCAGGAGGTTATGAAATCGGTAAACAGAGCCTCCAATTTATAAGCGGAAAATGGTGGATAGCTAATCTCCGAATCCACAAGCAGTCATGAAATGGACTTACTCTGTTCTGTCGTTGGAGAAAGTTGGATGGCGCCTACAAAGGGGATCAAATTTCGCCCGCCAGACAACTTGTCGTATTAGGAATGGCGATGGTCAGTTTTTCAATGAAACCACTCGCGCATTCCGCAGAGGTATTCATGATTCTTGACAACCAGATTGTGGAAGTGGTGTCATCACCAAGGAAAATGTTTTATTGAGTGGCAGTAAGTGGAACTGAGTAGACGGATTCCAAATAGTTATCTTTTAGATAATAACTGATTAATCGTGCACGCAGTGCATTGGCGAAATCTGTTACAAAACTGTGTTCTAATTCACCTTGAGACCTTGATTAATCTTCCTATTTGCAATTCGACCTAGTCACCTCGATAATACCGACAGTGTCTGCTAGCTGTTGAACAGGTTAGCGATGCGACCTTCGTAGCGAGCGTCTGTTAGATGCCATCTGGTTAGCGTTTACGACAATGCCCTCTCCACGATGATTCATACAGTGGTTGTTACTTTTATTGGCAGTCGTTTGACCCAATTTCCATAAACTCCCGTGATGATTAATTAAGTCGCGAGTGAATTGAGCTGGAGTGTTTTGAGATTACCAACTAGGGTGTCTTTCCAGGTAGCAGAGTTAAATTTTGTAGCAGGGTTCGTTCTTCGAATATGTGGTAATGCGAAATTCAAACCACCAACAGGTAGTTTAAGTCACGCAAGCACTTTCCAGAATAAGTATAGCTAGACAGAACCAGGGGGCCACTCGTCCCTGGAATTCCCAAATACATACTGCCTGCTCTCAAGTCAACTTCCCACTTTCTGCTTCTTCAAGCTGCTCGCCTTTAACATTTCCTAGTAGTCTATTTGCGGAAAGGTTGGTAGAGAGTTTGTAGAGACCGATTTGAAAACAAAAACACTGTTATTCATAGAAGCCAGGCTTACGCAGGCTTTTAAATGAAACGAGCATTTGACGGTACAGAACAATTCAATCAATGGCAATTTTGTGAAGGCTATAAAACTCAGATCCACTAGAAAGAACCGAATTCAGCAAGAACATAAAGAGGCTAAAAGGACTCTCATGACGAATCACTTCCCAGTGAAAGTTAATGTTAGCGTAATCCAATCAATGCATGACGGGAGAGAGTTCTGTGATGTTACGGTAGAAAGGAAACAGTGAACAGCCTTGCTTGTCGCTGGAAAGTCAAGCTGAAACTCCACCAGCCCACGGTTTTTTTGGTGGACGTGCCTCAGGCGTGTGCAGTTTGATTGCGCAATGAATGCCCT